TATACTAACCCTTAAGGGACCCCGTTTTGGGTACATGGACCCTTCGGGGAGTCCCCACATCCTAAACCCTAAACCCCTAAACCCTAAACCCCTAAACCCTAAACCCCTAAACCCTAAGCCCCTAAACCCTAGACCCTGAACCCTAAACCCTAAACCCCAAACCCTAAACCCTAAACCCTGAACCCTAAACCTAAAAAACCCCCAAATCCTAAACCCTGAAACCCTAAACCCCCTAGAAAGTCCTCCAAAAACTGCTTGTCTTCGGGCCGGTGTGGGGTCAACTCGTGCAGCAAAGTGATGAGCCGCTCCTGAAAGTCAGGTCCAAGAGGTCTTTTTCCTTTTTTTGGTTTGGGGTTCAGGGTTCAGGGTTCAGGGTTCAGGGTTCAGGGTTCAGGGTTCAGGGTTCAGGGTTTAGGGTTTAGGGTTTATAGGGCTTTTTCTTTTTGCTTTCCGGTTTAGGGTTTAGGGCTTGTTTTCCTTTTTGTTGGTTTGGGGTTGAGGGTTTAGGGCTTTGTCATTTTTTGCTTTCTGGTTTAGGGTTTGGGGTTCGTGTGTCTTGTTGGTTCAAGGTTTAGGGTTTAGGGCGTTCTTCTTTTTTGCTTTGTGGTTTAGGGTTTAGGGTTCTTTCTTGTTGGTTTAGGGTTTAGGATTTTTTGTTTCTTTTTGGTTTAGGGTTTAGGGTTCAGGCTTTAGGGCTCGTAGGGTTCAGGGTTTAGGGTTTAGGGGGTAAGGTTTAAGGTTTAGGGGGTAGGGTTGAGGGTTGAGGGTTTAGGCGGTAAGGTCTGGAGTTGCACTCGGCAGAGGAAGAGCCTGTTCAGAAAGTGCCTAATACTTTCTGCGGCCTTTCGGTGTCACAGGATTCGTTTATGTTTTGTTTTTTTTCAAGCAGGGCGCCTCATTCTGTGGTTTTCGAGGGTTCTGTACAAGGTTCTGGGAGTGAGCTCGGAAACGAAGCAGCACCCAATGGGTTTAGGGTTTGGGGTTTTGGCTTCCGCGCCAGCAGGGAAACCAAAGACATTCTGGTTGGTTCGTGTTTGCGGAACTGCCCGGAAGATGCTGAATCACCCTAAACTTGAAAACACATACTAGTGTATATGCATGTGTGTATATATATATATGTATACAGTATACATGTACAATGTACATACTCACAGACCTTAACTTTGGGTAGCCGACGACGCCTCAAAGCAGGCCGACGAAGGCTGGTAGTTGAAGCGCATTTCTTCTGCCAGAAAGAAACCCTCAGCCTCATGACCAACCGACGAAGCATCAACCCGCCCACCCAAAGACATGAGCCTAAACCCTAAAACCCTAAAACCCTAAAACCTAAACCAGAAACCCTCAAATCCAAGCCAAAATGAGCCTAAGACCTAAACCCTAAACCCAACAGCCCTACTAAATCAACCCCAGAGGATCCTCCTAAATCTTAAGGCCCGGATCTCCTTCACTCCCAAAACGAATCTCCAGCCTAAGCCCTAAACCCTAAACCCTAGACCCAAAGCCTAATAGGCTTGTATTTTTAAGGGTGGATGGTTTAGGGGTTTAGGGGTTTAGGGTTTAGGGTTAGGGTTAAAGTTTAGGGTTTAGGGCTTAACACGTTCAACCGGCTCTGCCTTGTTTTTGAATAGAATTGTGTGCACTCTCGGTGGTCTGTTCGGATTTGCCACGAAGATCTTGAAGATGTGGAAGGCCTGGCGGGGGGGGGGGAATGAGGAACCCTAAAGGGTTTAGGGTTTATAAGGGTTTGGGGGTTTAAGGTTTAGGGGTTAAGGGTTCAGGGCTGAGGGCTTACAGTACCTGGACCCCAAAAGTATGTAGAACAAAAGGCTTTTATAATATGGGTGTTGGGCCAGTAGTTCATCTACGTTTGTGGGTTTAGGTAGGTTTGTCGGTTGAGGTATAAGGAACTCTAAAAAAAGTAGGTTCTTCACGGTCCAGGTAGAGTTGGGTTTAGGTTTAGGGCTTAGGGTTGAGGGTTTTAGAGTTCGAGGGTCTTTCCGGTTTCAAGCTCAGGGCTTAATTTTTGTTCGGTTTGGGGGTTTCGGGTTTTGGTATCTAGGGGCGCTACAGGGGCTCTATTGGGCTTTAGCCGGCTTCTAAGGCAGTTTGAGAGGGTTTCATCCGTGAATCACATGGCTTTGGCTCGGGCATTCGGGGGTGTGGGGTGGAGACCCCCTAAATTCCCTAACCCCGACATTTTTAGACCTCTACACCCTACAGCCTAAACCCTAAACTCTATACCCCTAAACTCTAAATCCTAAACCCTCTAAACCCTAAACTGGCCCTAAATCCTAAACCCTAAACCCTCTAAACCCTAAACCCTAAACCCTCAACCCTCAACCCTAAACCGCTTCTTCAAAAGCGAGCCAGGGCCCTGAGTAATCGTCGCCCAAGGAAAAGCAGGGCCTTGATGGGAACACCAAACCAAGCCCAAGGGTCGAGTTTAGGGTTTAGGGATTTAGGGTTTAGGGTTTAGGGCTTAGGGGTTAGGGATGTTTAGGGGTTAGGGGTTTAGGGTTTAGGGACTTAGGGTCTAGGGTTTAAGGGTTTAGGGTTTAGAGTTTAGGGTTTAGGTGTTTAGTTTAGGGCTCTTTAAGGGTTTAGGGTTGAGAGTTTCAGGGTTTAGGGTCTAGGGTTGAAAGGGTCTAGGGTTTAGTGTTTAGGGGGTTAGAGTTTAAGGCTTTAAAGTTCAGGGTTTAGGGTTTTGAGTTCAGGGCTTAGGGTTTAAGGGTTTAGGGTTTGAGGGTTTAGACGGTTGAGAGTTTAAGGGTCGTCTGCAAAGCATCCATGGCTTCACCGCTTAAGGGGTGAACTTGTTCGACATCGCCCTGCTCGCGCAAGGAGGTCTGCATGTCTTTCACCAGTCTCTGGAACTTGGCGCGAGGCACCTGAAAGCGCTGCTCCTGAAGCAGACGTTTGTCTCGCGCTTCACTCACCGACAGCTTCTTGCCTCTGATCTTCCCAGACTCACCCTTGACTGGCTTCGTCTGCTTCACCACTAGTCCTGGCTCTGCCTTGATCTTCACGCGCTCCTGCTTCTTCGTCTGAAGCAGACGAAAAAGTCCATGCTGGCGACTGAATAATTTACATGATCAGGAACCCATTAGGAAGGATCTTGGAAATTCGTTCCGACCCCGGTGGTACCTATCGGCCTTCAGTGGGTATCTGTTTAGGTACTTTCGGCCCGGAACATGTACCTATAGTCTCCATTGTAGTTCTTTGTTTTTTGGTTTAACCAATTATATTATTAAGGGTTTTATAAGGTATCCCCAAAAAGGAACTACAATGGAGACTATAGGTGTAGGCGAATGGAATTTTGCGGTAAGCGAGAGCAAGGCCACGTGCAGTGGCAAAGTTCTGGAATCGGGAGTAACATGCTATAATACACTCCAAGAGGGTTTATTATACGATTCCGTGCGGCTTACGGCGCTCGATACGATCAGCGGTTGAGGTCGCGATTTGAGCTCGAAAGCGACGTTTAGGGTTTCGGATCCTTCAGAAAGATATGGAGGATTTAGCCACGAGTATGCTTGAATGACGAAGGGTTCTGGGTCTAGGCCATCTGAGCTGAAGCCAAACTGTCTAAACCCTGAATACCCTAAACCCTAAACCCCTGAACCCTAAACCCCTAAACCCTAAACCCTAAACCCTAAACCCTAAACCCCTAAACCCTCAACCGGCATGATGACCCCGGGAATGGCACTTTGGAGCTGTCTTGGGAGCCTCAACAAATGAAGCGGGGTCTTGGGGTTTAGGGTTTAGGGTTTAGAGGTTTAGGGGTTTAGGGGTTTAGGGTTTAGGGTTTAGGGCTCCCCTAAACCCTAAACCCCCTGAGCCTAAATAAACCCCGCAGCCAAACCTCAGGCCTCCAGCTGAATGGTCTTGGAGTCGTCCCGTAGCAGGTTCATATGAATTTGCAGGTAGGAGTCGTCCCCGATGTAGAGCATCATTATCCTCCAGGAATGGAAACGATCTGGAGGAAATGCTATTTTGGGTTGCGCTCTGTGTACCCTTTGAGGGACTATGATCGCAGTTTAGGTTGCCCAAAACCAAGGACCTGCAATCGAGGGTCTAGGTGAGTTTCCAGACTAATGAATGAGTTTGTTGGGGTTTAGGGTTTCGGGTTTAGGCCCTAAACCTAAATCCTACACCCTAAACCGTAAGCCTAAACCCCTGAACTTTCGGGGTTTAGGGTTTAGGGTTAGGGTTAGGGTTCAGGGAGGGCTACGCATTTTGGACTGATAGGCCTTATAGGTTTGTTTGGGATTGAGTTCTGTGCGCGCCGTTTGCAGGTCCATGGCGGTTACAAATCCTTAAAGGTTCATGTACCCAAATACGAGATACTTTGGCCCCAAAGTACCAAAATAGGGACTACTTAGGGCCAAAGTATATACTATTTCGGTACATGGGTAGTTCTGTAAATTAGTGTCCCCTTTTGTGGTCCTGTTTATAAGGGTGCCGTGCTATTTTGGGGACCTAAGATGGGACCCTAATTTAAAGAACTACCCACATGGACCCTTAGGGAATATTTCTGAAGTCTATCTTGGGGACCAAACGACCCTCACACTATGAATCCCGAACCTCGAACCCTTTTAGGATTCATTTCGTTCTTCAGTCGGGTAGGGAGCTAAACTCCAGGAAGCGCTGTCCGAGAGCTTAGGATGTCTGTAAGAAGTGAGGCTCTGCAATTCAAGGTATCTTGCATCACACGCTGAATCATAAGAGGATGAACAACATCCGTTACAGTGTCAAGAAATCAAATCGGGGTTTCGTGCTTGCAATCTCTGCGTTCGTTCAGTTCAAGTTTAAGCAATCCAAACAAACAACAATCCGGGACTAGAGCAGCCAACGAAGCCCGAAATCGGTGTGCCTCTAGCCCCAGGTCTCACGCTGCCAGGAACGCTGAACCCTACATGCAGAGATAACCTACTATGAACACACCAATTCCAATCTCTCCTTACAAAACAGAAATTCTGTAAAATCTGGATCCTACTAGTTAGATGTCTGTATACGTGTGCCCCTATATTCGGAAACTCCAATATTTCCCTTGCTGAGCTTACTCAAACCTTAACCCTCCACACCCTTGACCCTCTACGCCGGCAAGCACTCAGACAAACTTGCTTGCCTGCGGAAATTAAGCACCAAAAGTAAACTCTACCCCCTCAATACTCCGTATAGTAACCCCTGTTACAACATAAACAAACCTTAATTATCAAGGACCCTAGATGCAACCTTAAATCCTAAACCCTCCATGAATCAAGCCCTACCTTAGTCTCCGTCGTAGTTCCTTTTTTTGGTTTGACCAAGTACATATTAAGGACTTTATAAGGTATCCCTCAAAAAGGAACTACCACGGAGACGACAGGCAGACCCTAAACCCTGAACCCTAGACCCTAAACCCCTAAACCCTAAACCCTAAACCCTAGACCCTAGACCCTAGACCCTAGACCCTAGACCCCTGAACCCTAAACCCTAAACCCTAGACCCTAAACCCCTAACCCCTAAACCCTAAACCCTAGACCCAAGACACGGCCTCATGAACTTTCGACCGAGCAGGAGGTCGCTCAAGAGCTTGAGAGCCTGGATTTTCGTACTTTTTGGGTTTAGGGTTTAGGGTTTAGGGTTTAGGGTTTAGGGTTTAGGGTTAGGGTTCAGGGTTTAGGGTTTAGGGTCTAGGGTGCCGTTTAGGGTCTTAATGTAGGGGCCTTAAGAATTAGAGTAGGGTTCTGGGGGGTATGTTATACTAGAGTTATAATAAGGAGCCCCAGAAATAGTCTTGGTAATTGTTTAGGCCCCTATATTAGATCGAGTCTCCTTGCCCTCGCAAGCATGAAGAAACGGTGCAATAACCTACCTTTTCAAGGACTGATGTAAGGAAACCACCGTAAGGAGTCCTAAAAAGGCAGGTTGTTCAGGGTTGAGGACCCTACACCCTAAACCCTAAACCCTACTCAGGGCAACTCGCCCCGGCCCTCGCCAGGCCATCCTTGATGTCGCTTTTCTTCACAGCAGGCTCGAGCAGCCACAGAGCCTCGTAGGGGGCGACTTGGATCCCGCTGATGATGTTAAGAGTTGAGGGTGGTGCCCGTTCAGTGCAGCCTCTCGGCCGTGGGGCTGCTGCCCTGGATGAGATCCACATTTTGCGCTCCGAAGACGACGACCCCCTGCATCAGGAACACATGTTCTGCGCAGACGTCGTTGTTGCACCGACTCCTAAACCCTAAACCCTAAACATTGCTAGGTAGAGGAAGTCTTTGTTCGTGGCCAGGTCCTTGCTGTTCTTTTCGGCTTTATGCTTGGGGCTTACTGGCTTAGGGCGTCGGGATTAGGGAGTAGACTTCCTGTGCCGATTTCGCTGCCTGACTGCACTCAGAAGCGGGGCTTCATGGGTCTAGAGGGCGAGATTCAACCTTGTGGGGTTTACAGGGTTCTTCGACGAGTTTCGGAGCTTTGTTCAGGGTTGAGGGTTTAGGGTTTACTCTTTGATGGCTTTCAGAGCTTAATTATGCAGAAGTCATAATGTCACGTCATGCATTTATGGAGCTCGCTGGGGGTTTTCAAGATTCTAGAATGACTTGTCTAGATTTGCGTGTGGTCTTTGTAGACCTCTTAACTTCTTAAACGGACGAACACATGTTCATCGATGGGGTCTTGCAGGGTTACATGATGGTCGCCCTTCATAACTGGACCGGAGCTATGCAGCTGGTCATCAACACACTATAGTGTTTAGGGTTTAGGGTTTAGGGTTTGGGGTTTAGGGTTTTACTATAGGGACTACAATGGGATATTCTTGCGAAGAATAATCCGAACACCTAAACCCGACATGAACGCTTCACCCCAAACTCTAAGATACTCAGACCCATGCAATCGGTGCTACAGGGCTCTTGAACGCCTGGCCTGAGGATGATTTGGGTGGGGATGTGGGATCCTCGGGTGGGGATTTGGCGAGTTCGGATTAGGGTTTAGGGTTTAGGGAGTTAGGATTATAGAAGAAGCCCAAAAGTTGGAAACCCAATAGCCTCAATCCTCAAGAGTAGTGTACAGGGAATCCCAGCACGATTTGTCCTTGATCCGGTTTCCAACTTTTTGGGGTTTACTATAGCGAGACTCTTGGGGATCTGGCCCCTCTCAATAAGGTCCCTTTCAATTTCAAGTACGAGAGCCATAAGTAGGGTTAAGAAGGGTCCCCGGTAAGGGGTCTCCCTAATACTACCGAGGATACCTAAACCCCCACATGTGTATAAAATAACGGCCCAATGCGTATAAACAGCTATTATTCTACGTACTTTGGGGGGTCCAGGTACTGCAAGCCCTACACCCCCAAACCCTAAACCCTTTAAGGTAGGGTTTAGGGTTGAGGGTTTAGGTTTAGGTCAGAATTCAGGTGCAGGAATTTGTGGTGAGGGCTGAAACGGTTGCCGCATGGGGTTGAAGGGGCAGGGGTTGAAGGTTTAGGTTTAGGGTTTAGAGGTTTAGGGTTTAGGGTTTTAGGGTTTAGGGTTTAGAGGTTCAGGGTTTAGAGTTTTAGGGTTTAGGGTTCAGGGTTCGAGAACTGAGGCTTAAGTTTAGGAGTCTCTTGGGGGGCTTACGGGTTGAGTGTTTCGGCTGGAATGTCTTAGGACTTAGTTGGGGGTTTCACGATTTAGGGCTTCCCTAAACCCTAAACCCCAAACCCATTCCAGCCTGACGCTTGGTCACATAATCACCTTCCTGTAGAAGGCTGTTGTAGCTGGTAAAGAACTCCCGGAAGTTCGCCTGCGGTTGTTTAGTGCTTGCGGTACGGCAGGAGTGTAAAGTTTTGGGGCATTAAGCCTAGGCTTTGCGGCTTACGGGTGTAAGCCTTTTTTCCGCATTAGGCTGCAGGCGATAGGCTTTAGGTTAAGGCTTTAGGATGTTTTTGGCCTAGGGGTTTACGGTTTAGGGTGCGGGTTTTGGAGCGCCTGTTTACGAGGCACCATATTCTATGCAGAGCGAAGCCCAGGAAGAGAACGACGCCTTCTTGTTGTTGTATTGTATTCTTGCATAGAGTAGCATCATAGCACCAGTCGTCTTGTCGCAGCCCGCCAAGGCATTGATGTACATCATCGTCGGCCTGGGTTGTGGTGAAAAGCTTCGACAACCTGCTGCTGATCAGTTGCGGTTTAGGGTTTAGGGTTTAGGGGCCCATGAGTTGCTCGAATTCGTGAACCAGTTGCGGTGTCGGCATCTTGTAGAATTGTAGAGAACCTTGATGTCCGTCGCGTCCGCAGCAGGATCCGGAGACAGGATCCGAAAAAGTGGCAACATGGGAGGCCGCGGGAGGTTCGCTTTAATCAGAGCCGAGTGACTGAAATGTTTGTCTGATACCCACACCATGTAGATTGCCACCACTTCGAGACCCTCTTCGCCTCTGCAAGAAGCCGGCGGAATGCTGAGTCGGTAAATCCCATCCCCTGGTTGGCCTGAAGGCAGAGGGGAAACCGACATCTTTCTTAGCCCTAAACCCTAAACCCTAAAGCCCCCCTAGAGGTGGTGATTCCAGGCTTTGAAACCGGAGATTACTGCCTAGGGTTTAGGGTTTAGGGTTTAGTGTTTAGGGTTTAAGGGTTTAGGGTTCAGGGTCTAGGGTTTTAGGGTTTAGGGTGTAGGGTTCGGGGCTCTAGGGAGATGGGAGTCCGCTTTGGCCCCCGGAGCTATGCCCAAAGGCTCTACTAAGCATTCAAGAAGCAAGGCACCATTTAGTGTTTAGGGTTTAGGGTTTAGGGTTTAGGGTTTAAGGCACCATGAGAAGCGTAGCTAATAGCAACCTACACCCCTAAACCCTAAACTCCTAACCCCTAAACCCACAAAAGCCCTACATGTAGAACTAAAGCACTCGGCCGGCACCCACCTTGGTCTAGGGTTTGGGCTACACATGCTTTCCTGTTTAGGGCTTGCAGCGTTGGTTTTTGTGCGTTTCGGCCACTTTTCCGTCTGCTTCACAAATAGGCGTCCGAAACTTTCGCCACGAGAGGGTTTGGGTTTTGCTGCTCAACTGATCGGGGCCCTCTGCAAGGAATGCTACTGTTGTGTTGGTTGTTGTTCTCGTCGGCGTCGGTGTTTAAATAAGTTTGTGTGTTCTTATAGGTAAGATTATCCTTCGGGTCTGTCTTGCCGTAAACCCTACCACATAAACCCCTAAACCCCTAAAGCCTAAAGCCTAAACCCTAAACCCTAAACCCTGAAACCCCAGAACCCTAAACCCTAAACCCTGAAACCCCAGAACCCTAAACCCTAAAACCCTAAACCGTTTGCTGGGAGTCGTTGAACCGAGCTTTGTGTAGCCCCCGGCTCTGGGGCTCCCCCCTAGAAAGTTGCCTTAAACCCTAAAACCTTACACCCTGAAAACCAAAAACAACATGGATCCAAAACCCTCACGGTTTAGGGTTTAGGGTTTAGGGTTTAGGGTTTAGGGTTTAGGGGTACCCTAAACCCTAAACCCATGTGGCCGGGAAAACAATGCCTGCAGAAACTCGGCTGAGGTGTCCTCCCCGAACAGGCGCTTCGGTGTCATGTTTGGGTTTAGGGTTTGGTCTACCTTAAGAACCCCAAACCTACTTTTTTGTAGGGTCCCTATGAATCCCATATTAGGGCTTATAATTTATGATAAAAACCTACGGTTTGGGGTTCTTAAGGCAGGGTGTAACATTAAGGTTTAGGGTGTAGGGTAGTGTTGGGGTTTCTGATGTTCGCGTTTAGGCATTTTGGGCTTGGGATCTGCCCTAACCCCCAAATCCTTGAAACCTTTACAAGTCTAGCATAATATACCCCCAAACCCTATTCTAGTTATTGAGGCCCCTATCCCCTATACTAAGGCCGCACTAAGAGCGACCACGGTCTAGCCTCTATGACCGATCGTAGGGTTGCGGCCCTACAGTGCCAAAGCAACCAGAACGAAACCACATGTGCTGTTCTAGGTCGGACTGCAGCAAGACGTCCACCTGCTGCGACTTCGGTGCTTTTTCTAAACCCTAAACCCTAAACCCTAAAATTGTTCCGGTGCTCATGAAGTCCCCCGAAAACTCTGTCCTGGTGGTTCAGCAAGAAATCGTGAAGAGACGAGAAGGCATCTGTCCTGGTTTTAGGGTTTAGGGTTTAGGGTTTAGGGATGTTGAGCTGCAGGTTTGAGGTTTAAGGCTGAGCCGCGGGCACTCCAAACTGGGACATACCATGCTGTAGGGGCCTCAATAACTAGAAGAGGGTTTTGGGATATATTCTGCTATAGCTACCTGCGGCCCTTGGGGACTGCAAAAAACAACACCCCAGCATGAAAACACGAAATACCCGATCAAGCAAACCCCCGAACGGGTGAAACAACAACCGAACGCCTAAAACTTGAATTTTGGCGTTTGCTCCTGAACTTAGGTACCGAGCCGGCAGCCATTAAATCACAGCTGACAAAGGGGAGTAGCATAAAAATGGTACCAAGTCGGTGACCATTAAATCACAGCAGACAAAGGGGATTAGCATAAAAAAAGTAACAAGCCGGCGACCATTAAATCACAGCAGACAAAGGGGATTAGCATAAAAGAAGGTACCGAGCCGGCAGCCATTAAATCACAGCTGACAAAGGGGAGTAGCATAAAAATGGTACTAAGTCGGCGACCATTAAATCACAGCAGACAAAGGGGATTAGTATAAATAAGTACCAAGCCGGCGACCATTAAATCACAGCAGACAAAGGGGATTAGCATAAACAAAGTACCAAGCGAAAACATAGAGGAGCTTTGCTATGTTGAAAGGATGCTGTTAACCAGTAAATTGTTAATAACAACCGAACACCACAGCATACCGAGTGCCCTTTATAAGAACCTTTGCAATGTACTGTCGATGAGTCTTTTCCATGCACGACACCCTTTTTTAGACTCGTAAACCCTGCCCAAAAGCCCTAAAGCCCTTAAGCCTATAAGCTCTCGTATTGAGAACCCTCCAAAAGCAACAGCCTAGACCCTATCAACCCTAAATCCAGAAGTTTCCGGAAAGGAGGTCAGGATATTGGGTACATATACATCAAGTTCGGGAAGTAGAATATAAAATTATATATAATGTATATACATGGTACATGTTGTGGTTATTTCAGAAGGATGAGGCTTCTAGGGTAGTTGTGGTGCAAGGGCTTTCGCTGCAGTGTAGGCTTCAGGCTGTGTAGGGTTTAGGGCTCGGGGTCTATATAGGGCCTGGGGTTTCTATATATATAAGAGGGTTTGGGGTTGCGGGTCTAGGGTTTATCGGACACCGTGCAGGATTGATAGCAGGCGTCATATGTAGTGAGGTTGGGATCTTATAGGGAAAAGGATAATCGGCAGGAGTTGGGTCTTGAACTGTGCTTTCGGGGAGTGGTTTTGCGAGGATTTTGGGCTGTGGGTCGAGGGACTGCTCTTGCAAGGATGTTGGGTTTGAGGTCGAGGGACTTGGTCTTTGGAGGGTTTGGGCTTTGAATCAGGGGAGTTGAGGGTTTTTTTGATTATGTAGCATGGGCTAGTATGAAATTAGGAACCCCACAAGCCAAAACCCTCTAGAGTCTCTAGAGAGCCCTTATATACCTTCTTCCAGGAGGCTTCGGTGTTATGGTATGTTTTGGGGTTCGGGCTATGTGATTGGGGTTGGGATGTAGTCCGGATTAACCTAAGAAGCCGAGGCTATGTTTCAAACCCTAAGAAGACTCAAGACTCATCTGAACTGTATATATTCAAGTGTTCGAAACCCACATCCCTCTGACGAAAAGCTTGGACCCAATGCCGAAATCCTTTTCCCCTGAACCCTATATAATTTCCCGGACACCCGAATGCCGAAAGCCTTTATATATACCCTATATGTATGTTTCAAACCCCAAGCCCAAGACTGAAGACTCATCAGAACTGTACCCCTGATCCCTTATAATCCCCTGGACACCCGAATGCCCAAATCCTTTTGATCCCAAATCCCCGAAACTTATAAACCCCTCGGCCAAAGCAGCTTCCTCCTCGATATAGGGTTTATATATATGCAGGCTTTATAGTGGGTTTGGGGTTTATAATATATAAAGTGCCCTACTCGAGCACAGGGTTGAATGGGTTTGTTAGGGTTGTGGCAGCTGGTGGTCTGCATGATCGAGATGTGCATTTTAAGGTGAGTGTCCGGTATACGGGTTACAGGATCAGACTTAGGATTTTGGCGTCGGGGTTGTCTTTGCTTCGGAGGTTCGGGACAGGCTTTGTGGTTTTGTAGCTTTCTGGTACTCATAGACTTGCTACTTCGGCATTGTCACGGTGTCCGTTGATTAGATTAGATCCGGGCTGATGTATACGGGTTTATTTGGGTATTATGGGTCTCGAGTTCCAGTGCTAATTACTGGGTTTAGGTCGGGCTCTGGAGCTCGATCCTACTTAGGATATCTTTGGGTCTCGAACTTGGGGGATTGTATTATCGCCGGCCTCCGCCGCTTCTGCAGCCCACACTGAGCTTACCTATAAATCCCATAAACCCTATATAACCATGTTTGGCATCTTGGGCAATCTTGGGTGCTCGAGCAGGCTTTCTAAACTTATAAAGGCTGCGTATCTTGAGGAGTTGAACCCCGAACCTCCAAAAAATCCCCTGAACTTGTGGGGCCGCCCATGCTTTTTGCTGGACAACACCACTGAGTCGCGCTCTCAGCTTCTGCTGTCGCGCCACTGCACAGAGACAGAGGCAATCTCGTTCATGTACCATAGAAAATTTCGTGGCATTGCAAAAGATATCGCTGAATCGTCCGCTGCGCTGTAAGTCGCGGTGAAACAGCCCGGCAAACTCTGGCGATGCGCCCCACCATGTCTTCGTCCTGGGAGCATGTCTCGATGACAGGATTCATCGACAAGCCACCCCCCATGTCACTTTGCCAAGACAGCAGCTGAATGATATGCCACAAAGCATGGTGTTTTGGTGTTAGTGGGAATCGCTCCTCACCAGCATTGTAACACAGAAGGGCCAGACGAGAGCAACACCGAAGATGGTGCATACCTGCAGTCACGAGCTGCTGCTTAGCAGCAGTATCGAGCCAGAATCCAAATACATATAAGCCACGCATAAATGTATTTAGAGCTCGACTGCCTGTTGCGACAAGACGAAGACGCTCGTCACCAGATTTGTGCAATTCGTGATCCTGACAGATTTGTTCGATGAATTGGCACAGCGTGGTTGTCAATGCTCCCTTGTTCCAATGGCCCTCGGGCATTCCCGAACAGACATCCAGCCCAGAAGTTCTTTCGTAATACCTTTGGTAATGAACTTCACCTTCTTGGGCACCTGAGTGCTAAATTGTTGTGGAACACCGAACTATATAGGATAATAAAACCTGAATTTGTTCGCAGCCCTATACAGGAAAAACCGATTGACTGAAATATCGCAAGTTGCGGATGTGTTGCAGAAGTTGTAGTATGCTGCCGTCATAGCCTCCAGCCGTTCAGGAATGTATTGCCCAGCAAAAAGCGGAAGCAAAAGCACCAGGCAACCTGCAACCCAGGATTTCCCAGTGCCCAAATTCACAGTGTGCCAGGGGTCCGGCTTAAAGTAGATTGGTTTGTAAGCAAACTGGGGCAGCAATCTCGTGAAGACTGATTCTGTCTCCCAAGGCATCTCGTCGGTGCCCATTGTCTCCATGAAGGCCGGGCACTCCGACCTGCAATCCAGAAAGCCCTGGAAAAAACGAAACCCATATCCTGCTTTTATAAATCGGTGTACCCTTCCCTTCACATGGTATGGAGGAGCCCTAAACCATAAAGCAGAAGTCCTATAAAACCTCGATCGATCTATAATGTTGCCAAAGCTTCATATTGCCTTAAACTATATAGACTTCACATGGAAAAAGGGTTTGAATGAGGGGCCCTTGATTGGCACCAGGTTGCAGGTCCTCGAAGTCGTAGTTGTCCCTTCCAGCCAGGCACAAGTGGCATATGCCAACAGCTGCTGTCTTCCCTTGCTTGGCAGATTTAGGGCCACGTCGGAAGTTTCTCGTGAGCCCTCCAGCCGTGATCTTAGCTGGCAACACATGCATTATACGGTCGCTACAGACTGGCATGTACAAACAGTACGTTAAGGAAGCCTAACCCAATAGAACCAGGAAGAACCAAAACATTATATTGTGCGTTCAAGCCTTGCAAGCAGCCGGGATGCGAGAAACGGCCAGTCGCCTTTAACCCCTATGGGGCACAGATGCAGCTTGGACCCATCCATCAGCTGCACCCCATCCCGAAAAGCAGACTGCAAGTCTTCACACAGGCGCTCGAAGAGGTCTTCCAGAGGCTGAGCAGATTTGGCATACTGCTCCTGGGCTCAACAGTCGATGATTGGTTGGTGAGGATACATATACCCTAAACCCTAAACCCTAAACCCTAAACCCTAAACCCTAAACTATATATCCTATGTAGACAGGGAGTCTTGGGTCGTTTTGATGCTGCTTTGGATTGGCTTGGGGGCTGTCCTGTTGGGGTTATTATATGCACTTCTGCAAATCGTTGCAGAACACACTTATACTTAATCAGCTAAGGTTCTTTCGGCATGACCGAGAACAGTAGCCTCGTCCGAAATGTCACACCCTTTTGGTTGACATAGTAGCCTTGCTCGTTCCCAAAAACATCGCCCTGACGAGCAGCAGACAGACGGCTAGTGCCGCGGCCTAGAACACTTTGAAATTGCAGTACCATCACTGCATTTTTTTTGTAGTGTTGGCCTTCGTCGCCATGAATGTACAGCGGCACCATCTGGCTCCAAGGGATTCCATGCTGCAAGCCCTCGAAGTCGCTGTAGATACGGGAAAACTTCCCCCAAAAGTCTTCAAGCATACTTTTCCCAGAGGCCAAATCATCCGTACCAAACAAAGTATCCCACAATGTAAAGCGATCGATGGCTTTGATCCAACTTGTAGGATACAGTACAGGGTGCTCGCCGTCGCCCACTCGAGCTTGTGAAATCGTGACATCCAGGTGCAGCTCGTCCATATGGCGATGCACCGCCTCTTCCTTATATGCTATATATGTACAGACCCCAAGATTGGTGCAACCCAAGGTTTGAATTCTCAAGCCTTCTACTCCGAACCCATGAC